TGTCATTCATGAGCAACAGAATATATTAAAAGAAGACCTGATACTAGGGGCTAAGGAATAAATCTGTTCTTCATTATATACTTGTATTGCTATTTAGTTAATGCTGTATCAAAGAAAAATTGGTGATTTTTTGGGATGAAATTGCTATTCACACAATGACCTTTTTGTCATCATTCTCAATTTTTTTCATGTTCGTTTGTCCAGTATTGAACATTTTGCTTCACCTGATTTTTATTTTTAGCCTTATTAAGGAAAATGTTTCACTGCAATAAATGAATTTTATTGAATTAATTAAATTCAAATTAGACATTTCGTTCTGCCACTTCTACTAATTTTCAGTATAATTTTTCTTATTAAATTCTATTTCATCTAAATCGTGTTTTTTGTTACATTTTATTGATCTTACTTAATGTTTCTTATTAAATTTCATTTGATCTGAGTTGTTTTAATCTATTGTGAAAATATATAGATTTTTATGTGAAGATTCAAGCTGTGTTTAATTAGTTTATATTTAATTTTTATTTCAATATTGTCTTTTATTTATTTATTTATTTATTTATTTAAGTTTATCTAGTTAATATGCGTAAATTTCTTCATTGTTGGTTTGTTTACATTCTGTACAATGAATGCAAACTTGTCTATAGCGAGTAGAGACAGATCCTAAAAATAAACAGTAGAGAGATGTATGTGGTGTTAAAAATAAATAAAAAAAACATGTTAACAGTAGTGTATATGTATGTATGTGTATATAAAATTTTAATAAATCCAAAATTTCAATTCTGTGCTTTTTATTAGCTACTAGTGGTGTTCATCTAACAACAGAAATGTGGAATATAGTGGCAGAAATGTGGAATAATACATAAAATTTACATACATATATTTTTACATAAAATGTTTTAATGCATTTTTACAAAATAATAAAGTAATAATTAATAAAATTAATAACTTATTATTTATTCTCACACATCTCCAACATTTTTTTTTGTGGTTTGACATTTCCTTTAACTATAAATGTATTTAAATGTATAATTCTGTATTTAATAAATCCTGATTAAATAATTCTTAACTTGTAGTTTTATTTGGTGCTCATGCAAAAAATCCAGATTTAATGTTAAACAAGTGAAAGTGTAAACAAAACTCGTACATCACCTAAAAATCTGTAAAAGCGAATATAAGTGAATATATTGTAAAAATAACTGTGAATATGAGAATTCTACTGTGTAAAATAAACGACCCTTTGAGGAAGCTTACTAAAATTTCATTTTGAATTTCAACCCAGTCAAAGTATGGATCTTTATTCCAGTGACATACTTGGATTGTACATAAATGATTGACACAACGGCTCTCACAACAAAACTATTACACTGTTTTGACGAAGAGAAAGCAAGTGAACTAGACATAAGGGGACATGTACTACTCAGAATGCATAGATGGAGCTGGCCACAAGCGAGAGGTATAAATCAGCCACTGTCCCTTTCGCCATCATCATTGAGAGTGTAGACAGCAATGATGGAAGGTTATTATCACAGTCAGCATTGGACAGTGTGGTTCATATAGAAGGAAGGGATACAGGGTAATGAGACCCATCATCGCATGGTACCGGTGTGCGGGAAAAAAGCACCCTCAAAGCATACCCTATCCCATTGGTTGACTAAGTTCAGCAGTGGAGTGGAGACCGCAGTGAAAAGTGTCAGTGCGCAATGACATCATCGCATACAGCAAGCAAATGTGGCAGCCGTGTCGAATTTGATCATGGCGAACAGGTGCATAACGTTCAACTAGATGCAGAAAAAGACAGAGCTTGCGCTAGGAACATTGCAGGCGGTTGCTTGTCATGATTTGGAGATGACAAATATGTGTGCAGAGTGGGTGGACCTCGGTCTACAGCTTGCTTGACAACATGAAGTATGCGGATGGGGGCCAACATGCTGAATCTTCTGCCGAATTGCATGCAGTTCTCCATAGGAGGTACACCAACACCCTCACAGACTGCTTTACCAAAGCCCTTCGGGACCTCCCAGCCAGATGGCAGAAGTGTATTCACATGGGCGAGGATTATTTCTAACAGATGTACTATCAATTTTTTCTTAATACATTGTATTTCGCTCTTTAGCAGCATTTGTGCCATTCATTTTTGTACGACCTTAATATAATGATACATAGTAAATACCACTCTGTAAAACCAGGACTATTAGTGCAATAATGAGTCTCTTTGAATAGAGTTTTAGAAGCAAATCAAGCATTAATTTTAATCCATTTTTGGATCTTAAACTGTAAAAATATTGAAAAATCATGCATTTTTTAAAAGTATCTTGCTTTTATATTATCTGTTGCTGTATATAATAGATATTTTAAAAACAGTATGTAGTAAGCCTAAAATTGCTAACCACCATGAACATTTGTAAAGGTATCAAGAAGGCAATCATATTTGATAGTAAATTAAATGAAACTGTTATATTTTTTACTTCTGCATTGGACATGATTACTTTGGAGAAACTTTGTTTTGCCTGAGCATTTAAATTTATCCATCTAGTCCAGTTTGTAAATTCTGAAGAAAGTAATGAAGGATCTTCTTCACTATACTGAAGTCCGCAGGTTTGTATAATGTTAGAAAATGGAGAATTCTGAGGCAAAATTTGTATCATGGATAATATATAAATGTGTAACCATCATTAATCTTTTCAAAATATTATCTGCATAAAGGGGTGGACATAAAGTTATAAATTAAGAACTTTTGTACAGTTTTTTAGAATATTTTTTCTTCTAACAATACTGTAATTTAATCTTAAGAAACTCAATGGACTCACAGGAAGAACAGCAATTCAATATTATGTTTAAAAAAAATATGTGCTAATTACTTTACAAGGTAAACAAAAAAGTTCTTGCCGTTTCTGATATGGCATTGGAAGAGTGAGCCACAACATAAAAATAGGCTCCAAACCTGGCGATGAAGTGGTTACGATGGGAGCCCGGACATTGTATAAAAGTGTGTTGCATCGGTACTTCAAACATAACTCACACAGTGACTGATTGAAATGGACATGTCAAAGGTGCTCGTTCGGAGTTGTTTGCTGTATGACTTTAAAGTGAGCTTATCAGCAGCAGAATCAAGTCGCCGAATTTTCCAGGCCTTTGGGGATGATGCCGTTAATGAACGAACTGCTAGACAGTGTTTCCAGAAGTTCATGTCATTAGATATGTCTCTTTAGTGATGCACAACGCAGCGGGCGGCCACAAGCACTGAATGATGAGGCCCCGACAGAAGCCAAACATGTGGTGAGCTTGCTGCTTATTTCCAGGTGTCTGATGACTTCATTTGCACTGCATAGGAAAGGTATACAATCTGAGCAAGTGGGTACCCCATTCACTACTCGAAGCAAACAAGCAACAGCATGTCGCTGCCTGTTTGTCATTGCTTACTCGGCACCTCAGTGCATTCCAGCGATGACAAGTGGGTCCAGTATGGCATACCCAGGTATTCGAGACATTGGTTGCGATCATGGGACCCTGTACTTCACACTATGAGACTTTCTGTCCACCCACGCAAGATCGTGCTCTGTATCTGGTACACTAGTAACCAAGTGGTGCACTATGAGCTCCTGCCAGTGGGCCAAATGATCACGGCATACCTGTACTCAACAGCTGGAATGAATGCATGAGGCACTGATGCATAAAGAGCCAGCATTGGTCAATCGTAAGGGTATACTCCTCCTCCATGACAATCCGAGGTCACATGTGGCTCAGGAGACTAGCGAAACCATCCAGCAACCAAACTGGGAGACACTCCCCAGACCTCGCACCTAAAGTCTACCACCTTTTCCATTCCCTTGACAACCATCTTCGTGGGAAATTCTTCAGCAACCAGCCAGATCTCGAAAAGGCCCTCACGGATTTCTGTGCATCCAAGACGCCAGAGTTTTACCGTGATGGTATTGCACAGGTGCTGATGATGTTAACTTCGAGGATTAGTGAGTTTTTCTTTCTAACTGTCCAAAATGGCAAGGACTTTTGTGATTACCTCGTACATAAATTTAAAAAAAAAAAAAAAAAAAAAAAAAAAAGAATTTTTTTGGAAAAGAAGTTAAAAAATTGAAGAATGGCGAAAGGAAAATAAAAAAATCTTGAGCTGAGGAGAAGCAAAGTGAAAACAAGGAAAAAATTTTTAAAAATCTGAAAGGCTTCAGATTTTAAAGTACATCCAAAGAAGCGTTTTTTAATCGTTTTGTGTGTTACCTTTATTTATTTATTATCATGCTCTTTGTACTTAAACCATAAAATTCAGTTCAACAGCAATATCGTAAAATAATTTTAATATGAGCATATCTTTAGAATTTCCCATACAAAGTTCCGCGTGCTGGAGATAAAAAGGTTTTTTTCCCCTCCCGTAGAGTGGCCATTGTTCGCTTTTAAATTGTTGAGTTTGTTAATAAAAAATATGATTACAAAATATGAAACCGATAATAAAACAAATTCCAAATTTCAACTTCCAGATGCCCATATTCGCCTTAGGATTACGTCATTCAAAATTTGATGCTTCTAGGTACCATTGTTTTATCACAATGCAAGAAACATACATACATTTATGCAGATTCTTTTATTATTTAATTTCTTCAAATATAATACAGGACAATAGTATTTGGTGGCAACAGTTTGAAAAGTGAAACGGACATTCAGAGTGATTCAACGCAAAATCGCAGAATGAAAACAATAGTCCTTAGGGACAAAGTAAAATAATAATAATAAGGCTTCTTAAAAATATTCTTAGGCAATGAATTCTTCTTATTATTTTATATAGTGTTGTTCATTTTTTACATTAGTGCTTCACAGGTTTGGTGAAATTATAGCTAAGATCTTGGTGCAAATCTAAAATTTCCAAATCTGGTTGGGGGCTGCTGTAACAAAGAAGTATCATTTCTCTTAATTATACTTTAGATATTCAGCTGTTTTATTATTTTTTTTATTTTATTTATTTTAATTTTTTTTTTTTTTTTAATATAAAGGTGAAACTTGGAGCAGAAAATATGATCCAGATGTATAGTTCTGGATCTTCAAAAGATAAAAAACTTCTGGCTGAAGCTCAACAGATGTTGGCCGATTCGAAAGCTAAAATAGAGTACATTCGAATGATGATCAACAAAGTTAAACATGACAAAGAAAATCATGCAGATGGTAATACTGTTGGATCTGAAGGAGCAGGTAAATTGCTGTAAATATATATCTGAACATAGAATAACTTTCATTTTAACAAAATAAAATACAACATACTAAGGAAGTAATTTATTAAATAGTAATTTAGTGGCATAAAAATGTATAGATATGTAAATCTGTATTTTTAAAATTCAAATATTTGCTTTAATATATTTGTGAAAGTTATGATCTGTCTTGTGTATCTGTTAATGCAAAGTAAGTTCAGTATTCATGTTCACTTTAGTTGTAGTAACCACTGCAGCTTCATTTTTATAAGGATTGAGAATACAAAAATAATTAAAACACGCAGTGGCATGTTACAAAATCAGTTATGGGTACATCTAATAAACATTATTTCTCTAAAATATAAAATTATGTAAATGATAAATCAGAAAACACGGAGTGGCATGTTACAAAATCAGTTATGGGTACATCTAATAAACATTACTTCTCTAAAATATAAAATTATGTAAATGATAAATCAGATTTGTAGCTAATATAAATAACAGAGCCAAGCTATCAACTGAAAGTTAGAAATTATAGCATTTTATTTCAGGAATAACAGATTGTGGACAACAGCATCAAAATAAGGAGTTAAAAATTCTTGAAAGCAAAAAATTTTAGGATTTCAAATATGATTTTAGAGAAAAGGGTAACTTTTAAAATATTACAGTATACTAAAATTTAAAAATAGGGTTAATAATTCTCTTAAGACAATTTCATATTGAAATTATAAAATCTGATGTGTACACCACATGACTTCCTTGTACGGAATATTAAATTATATGCATTTTTTCATGCATTTAAACTTATTTCCTCGAATTTCAGTAGAGATATATTTCTCATTCGATTAATTCAGTTCTCACTTTGTAAAAAGGCAGAAATACATATAACCTCAAAATATCTTTAGAAAAAACTAAAAAAAAAAAGAAAAATCTGAGTTTTCAGGTTTTATATTACACCCAAAGGGGCATTTTTTAAAAATAATTTGTATGTTACCTTTATTTATTAACTATCATGGTCTTCGCACTTAAACCATAAAATTCAATTCAACAGCAATATCACAATAATAATAATAATATCACACTAAGGAATAAACATGATTCTTTCATGAAGACCACGTTGTTTAAGTTTTTCTTATTTTTATCCATAACACGTCTCATGCATAAACATATTAGACTGAAATATAATAAAAGTATAATCAAGTAATCTGAGATAAAGAATAAACTAACCTAGTAAGCAAAAAATATTCGTTACATTCCGAATTCTTAATATTTGTTTACATAAACATATATCGCAAGCCCTGCAGGAGCACAGATATCAGATGATTACAAACGCACGATCGCCAGAGATCGTATGATAATTTTTTCCTCAACATTTTCAAAACTGAATTGACAAAATGACAAAACGAAAGTACTAGCCCTTCTGGTCAAATTGACACTTGGGCTAATGCAAAAACAAGCAATTAGGCCAGCGGTCAAGAAGGCGGATGCAAGATACATACATACGTAGGTACAGATGTCACAAAAAATCTCTTCTAAATCCATTTAAATCATTTTTTCAACTCGTTTTTGTAGAAGAGTCCTTTATTCTGTCTTTATGTACAGTTGTCATGCAAAAACATTGTTCAGTTACATTTAAAAATGGTCGAAATGTATATTTTCGTTGAAATATGACACCCAAAAATTTTCACGATTACAATACTTCCTTTACTTTGTACTAGGAAGTAAAAAGGAAAGGAAGAAATAAAATATTTTCTGTAAGCTTTTATTAATTCACTTCTGTTGCTTACCGCTATGATCGAAAGTTTGTAATCAGTTTTTAAACTATTTCTTGATAAGCTATGAAGCTCAAATTTTGCACAAACACTCTTCGATAATGCAGTATGGTGTTGTATGCAGTATGCAGTTTGATGATAATGCAGTAGGTAAAGCGATTTTTTTTTTTTTTTTTCAAAATTCAGTTCAGACATTTTTAACATTAATACCAAAACAATTTTTTGCACATATCATCTTTGTTTACGAAACCAACTAAAAACCTTAGAATTTTACTTTCTGCAACATTGAATAGAGGAAAAAATATAACTTAAAGAATGTTTGTATGAAATTTTTAATGTTACTTTCTGATTTTTTGTGACAAATTTTTGGAACTTAATTTTTCTAACCATTTGATATCCATTACTATAAAAAAATTCAACATCTAAAATTATATGTGTTATAAAGTTTCTGAAATTTTCACAGATTATAAAACTTATAAAACAAACTCTTTGCTTTCTATTAAAACAAGAATGATGAAAAGATTTTAATAGATGATTTTGTACACTTTTTTTCTTAATATATTGTGATATGACCTTATGTGGAAGACAAAACATTGAATCTCTAGTAGGAATCACGTGACTGGTTCTGAAACATAGTACAAAGTTGTCACTACACTTTAGGCTGCATTTTTTGTTTTGGTATACATTTCTTACTCTGCATTTTGTTTCAACAAGAATGATTAAAAAAAAGTATTCATTTACATGACTTTTTAAATTTTTTTAAAAACTAGATACATGAATTGCCAGACTAAATCATGCCATATGTGGTAATATATCTAAGAAAACAATTATTCACAATGCATATGTTGCTTTTAGCAGCATAAAGCCACGGGAAGAACTAAAAGTTCAAGAGCTGTGTCGTGAAACTGAATGGAATAAGATTCGTTTGATAATAACATAATTAGAGAAAATAGAAAGAATGCAAATCCACTATCAAAGATAAATCTAGATTGAATACATAAATTTTTTCTTTGCAAATGATATATGTAAATTTTAATATTAAATTACAGAAAGTGTATATTATTGTAAGAATGTAAACAATAACAGAATTCTTGGATGTAAAGTGAATATTTATTGCTGAAATACGATTTTTCTGTTGATTACTTGATTGATAACATGCAACTGAGACTAAAATGGAGAATGTGAGACAAATAAAAATTTTTATAAAATAAGCTTATAACGATGTTTAACCACCATAAGACTCCATCAGAAAGGCCTAAAAATTAGAAATTTCAGCCATTGATTAAAACCAACTTTATTTAACATTTAAAAAAGAGAAAAAGCACATCTCATAAGAGAATTCACTCAAGGAATCTCACAAGGAAATCTTGCACAGTCACATCTTGCAAGAGGTTAAATACACTCACTTCTAAAAGTTAAGCACAAAGATGTAAATTACAAAAAAAAAAAAAAAAAAAAAAAAATCAACAAATAGTACTGCTTTGATTGACACAAAATTTGGCAGGAAAGTAGCATATATATTTATGCATAAAACAAAACCAATAATTATATACAGAAAAGAAAACAATATTAAATTTTTGTAAATTATCAGATAATGACATACTGGAGACTTAAACAGAATTATGTATAAAGTGAAAAATAAACAGCATAAGATTGGGGGGGGGGAAAAAGGACATTAATAGGGTATGTGACCCTGCAGATCTGTGCTTGTTTGTCTGATCTCTGCTTGTAAATTTGGTAGTCCTCATCCGTATGCTTATACTAAGGACTTTTAGAATCTGTTCCGTGACAGGGTGGGCTGTATTCCGCTAATGAATTTTATTCTTTCCTAAGTATATGTATTAAAAAAAAAAAAAAAAGAGAAAAAAAAAAAGAAACGCTAGAGGGTTGTGATGCGTAGGTGTAACTAATGACATAACATATACATCCCGCTTTGAAATTTCAATTTCAAATTTGCCATTTATATTATAATTCAACACTGACACAATAAACAAAGAAATACACATTTTTAAACAGATAAGGAAATTAAGTGAATAAATTCAAATATGAAAAAATATATATATATACAAATGCAATTACACTATTACAATCAATGCAAAATGGAAATTCGTTCCTTCATTGGAAGCAAACAAATTTGGCTGATACCTCTTTTAAAACAACCTTCAGATGTTTTTACTAAAACTACTAACCTCTACATCTGATCCTTCTTTTTTAAATCCTTCTTTTATTCTATTCGAAAATTAACCACTCAATTAGCAGCCATTCAAACAATCCAAGCAACAAAATTTCTCATCGAACAAGCTAATAAAAAAGAATTACAAAAATCAAGTGATATTGACACATGCGAGTTACAGGATTCATTGCTAGGCAACAGAGGTAGAGGAGAAAGTTTCATATAGCAGACATTCAGGCGCCAACAAATAGCCTTAGTGGCAAATTTTACAAAGATTGAGACATAAATTTTTTTGAATGTGCCCTTGCATTGACCTTTGTATTTAATCAAAAACGGGCCACAGAAGTCGATTCCACAGTTATAAAATGGAGGACTAGGGTTAACTCTCTCTGCAAGCAAGTTTCCCAAAAGCTGCTCAGAGCGTCTGGGTTTATTTTTAAAGCACATTATTCATTTACGATTTTTCGAGCTAAATTTCTTCCTCCTGTTGGCCTAAATTTCTGCCTCATGCAATATAATAATTGACCTATATTAAAATATCTCCTATGGAAGGATTCCATTATAATTTTAATAAGTTTGTGCCTAGAAGGCAGAAGTTCTGGATGCTGTTGGTTTTGATCAAATTCTGCTTTTTGTAAACGTCCACCTACCTGAAGGATCTCATCCAAAAATGAGTTCAAATTACTTAATTTGCTACTCTTAATATTTTTGTTCCTCTTTAAACAAGAAATTTCTTCACACAATTCATTGCTTTGCACTAATCTTACCAATGCATCTGAAGCTTGGTTCAATTCTTCTACACTTACCCTTTCTGGGCTCCCTGGGATGTTTCATGTTATGGAAAAACCTGAAAATAAAGCTTAATATTTGACAAAGTGTAGTGTAATTATTACTTAAAGATAAAAAATTATCAATAAAGTCACAATTTAAATTAATTAATAAAATTGGTAAGCTAGACGGTTTTATTTCTTTTGCAAAGTCTTCATCAACTAGTGTTGCACAAGCACTGGCACTGGCACTGGAAGGTCAACAGCCACACAAGCAGGGCCACTCCACCAT